TAACCTAAATGCAAGCGAGAGCTTAATCTCACCAAATTCATGACCACATAAATGATGTTGTCATCATGAGCTCTCAAATGTCTACCTTCAAGATTCGACCAAAAACCTGCACAATAAATGAGAAAGAACTATTCTTTACCTTTCAAAACTGAAGTTATGAAACTCAATAGGTTAGCCTTATATATATAAAAGTGAAAGCAGGGACATTTCCTAACATGTTAGTCAAAATTGACCCATCTCATTGTGGGTCTAAATATAAAATCAAATCAAAAGCAGACTTAACTAAAATCATACTATTAATTTGGTTATATTACAACATGGTATCATAACAATTACTCATTAATTGACATTAATTAATAAGTCCGATATATAATGACTTTGTTAGTCCATCAATATGAGATAAATAAAATATGAAGATTTGAAGCAAATCTGAGAATATTGTCTGTTTTGATCCTTAGATCATCTCATGACTTTGTAGAATAAAAAATATTACAATTATAGGTTCAACTCTATATATATATATATATATATATATATATATATTATGGCAAATTCTCACAATATATCGATATTAGATTAAGATGTTACCAACAAATCTAAATGAGAACATACATTAAATATACAAATAAATCATCTATCAAAGTAGAATGCTGATAACAAAAAAATCTCTACTTTATAAGTGAAGTATTCGATTTAAACCAATTCAATTAACCGTTAGCAGAATATGACTTTGATACATATTACTAGAATGGAGCTTCACTTCACTTTAGATTTTTTTTATTCATAAAAAATAATTTTAAATTAAATAATATTATAAATAATATTAGTTAATAAAAGTAAAAGTAGATATTATAAAAATAGTTTTTTAAAAAATAATAATAAAATGATTATATTAATTAAGAAAAACAAATTGATAATTCAAATAATTTATTTGTAAGCAACTATAATTTACAATAATTTCTATTGTTTCTCATTTATGATCATAAAAACTACAAAGAATTTTTTTTGAATTATTATATTACAAAATAAAATTTGTATTTTTGAATACATGAGAAATTTTTGTAAAAAAATTGCATTTGATTTTTCTCATTATTAGAAATGATTATAAATATAAAAAGTAAAACTTTTAATTATTGGAATCAAAGTAAATTTGGGCAATTTTGTAATAACGGAATCAATTGTTATTAAATTGTTTAAAAAATAAAATGTAAATAAATTTTTTGGACCAAACCAATTTTGAGGTGGCTTTGTAATAATGGAACAAATTATTGTAAAATTGATTTATCAAAGTATTCATATTTGATAATTTTTATGTAAAAACAAAACTATTTTATGAAAACTATACGATTTAGTTATAAATTAAAGTAATTATTAACGTATGATATGATTTATATTAAGTTGTATTTATTATATGAAGTCACTGAAAATAAGTTATAAAATTATTTATATTAGATTATCTTATATAAATATATAAAAGCCAAAGCCTCTAACAAAATGGAAATAATCTGAGTTGAATATTCTACATTTTCGACATGTGGATAATCTAAAAAATTGATATGTATTTTTTAATAAATATTGCATGTTAATAATTCAAAAATCCTAAAGTAAATAATTTTTTTTTGCCTTAAATTATTCTCAATTAAATTTATAAAGAAGACAATAAAAGTTTAATTGCCATTATTAATATATAGAATAATTTTGTTAAGATTTTTTTTTCAATTATAAATATTCAACTTTTAATTACATTTGTGTAAAAAATATTCAATTCTTAAATTTGAAATATGAATAGGTTTTCATTGTGAATCCACCTTTTTTTTTCATTGACATTCCAACTAATAAATGTAATTTTGGTATTTAATAAGGTAATCTATTAGCTTAAATAAATATATAAATAATTTAATATCAAGAATTCAAATAAAAAAAGCTTAATTATTTTTAACCATATTTTTTGCAATATACTATATAAGTGTCTTTTTTTAGAAATCATACTACAAGTAATTACTATATAAAACATCTTAATTTGAAGGCATATTTAAAATATAAAATGTAGACTTTTCAAAATAAAAGTTAAAAATATGCTGATAATTAAATAACCTATTATAATTAATTTGCTTAAATTATTTTGAATTTTACAAGAGCTTCATATTATAAATAGAGAATCATCTTATACTAAAATTGAGCAAAGGTTTACCAAAACTCTCCAAATACATTTAATTATACAAAGGTTCACTAAAACACATTTATTTTAGTTGTAATTAGGTTAATCTCTATTCAAAAAATTCCATTGAATCTTTTATACAACAACCAATAATTTTTATTTTTAGTTTGATTTAGTTTTTCAATCACTGTTAACAATAAAAATGTATTGTTTTTTACTTTATATATTGTTTCTCTTTTGTTTACGTTTTTCAATCAATAAATATTTTTACTTTATAATATTTGGTGTTACTTCTCTTTTGTTTATTTTTTATGCATATTCAATTACTCCATTTATAATTTATTCATTCTTAATGATCTTAAGTCATTTACTTTTCTATTGACTTGAATATCATACTAGCATGAATCTCTCTTTGATTTCAAAATATTGTATCTAAAATTTTTATAATACAACAAGATAAAAATCTCACATTCCATGAAATAGGGAAAAAAGCAAAGATTTTTTTTTTTTTTTTTACTTTCGTTTTACAATTTTGCCTTTCACTTATAGTTTTTTCAAACATCATGTTTATTTGTGTTTAATATATGTGGTTTTATTTTATTATATACATTATGTTTAATTTATCTTCTATGAATGAAAGCATAATTTTTTTTGGTACGTCAACATAATTTTTAAACTAAGATGTTAATTGCTTTCACTTATGCCATGAATGGATGCATTTTGTCAACAATTTGTTATGATCAACTATTTAGTTATGTTTAATTCAATTGCTATTGAACAAAAGAATTAAATAAGAAATATGCATGGTGCGTTTAATGCGTATTTTCTAATATATGCATCATTATTTGATGATTTAAAAATTTTAAAAATAATAAATTAGACACTTTTACTTTTTAATATCCAACATGATACATAACAAATAATTAAGTAAATTTTATTATTAATGGAAATTGTTAAAAAAAACAGAAGTAGCTGTTTACTTTCAATTTTATGATGTATAACAAGATAAGTTATATAAGTTTTAAGGTAAGTAATATACTTATTTTTACCAAATAATTCAAAAATACTGATTCAATATAATTTGATATTCAACATTTTATCATGCACTTTCTTTTTTAATAATATTTGTATTCTAATTTATAAATTTCAATCCAATTAATTGCACGTACTAAAAATATTTCACCAAATAGGTGTCAAAACAATTCTTTTTTCTTATCTAATTAAATTCTATTAAATTTGTTAAATTTTCATGTTATAATTTCTCCAAAAAAAAATGTCAATGAAAATTATATCTGAAAAATATTTTGGACAACTTTTCTAATTTTGAAGAAAACAATGACACCTTAAAATAAATAATTGATTTTCATTTTGAATGATATTTTTTCTTATAACCGTATGTTGACTTAAAGCATTTCAATGATTTTTTTATATTTAGGTTAATCAAATACTAATTTCGATTAAAAGTTGCCTAATCAAATAAATATGGTATTTGTTTTAATACATAACAATCATTTCACTTTAATTTCTTTTGAAAATTTATGTGTTGTATATAAAATTATAAATTATGATAAAGATGAGATAAGTATGAATATTAAATTACTAATTTATAGATACCAATAGGTTAAGTTCTCCTAAGTATATCATATATATATATATATATATATATAGGAGAGGATCAAGTTACATAAAAAAAGTTTTACACTTTTTTACATTTTTTTATCATTAATTTTAATAGATCTAAAAAATGAGAGATAAATAAAAAATGATTTAATTTCATCTACTGAATCTATTGAAATCAATGTTTAAAAAAAATATAAAACTAAAAAATTTTATAATGGTATAAGTTGATTACTCTTCATATATAACACACACACATATATATACATATACCACCCATATTACAAAATAAAATTTCTGACATTATCTATCATTATGAAAATATAATTTCTTATCAAAATTATAAATATACTATCTTTTAAAATAAAAATTTTGTTTTCTTAATAAATAATCTTTTACTTTTTAAATAATGGTGTATGTAAAAAAATATAATTGATTTGTTTGCTCATGCATAACATGAACTTAAAATTAGTATAATTGTAGTTATCTTATGAAATCACTTTAAAATATTATATAATTTGATGTTCTTTTCATTTCAAATTGAATATTCCTATCTAAGCTGAGATGGAGATTAATTTAATTTTTTTATTATGTTGATTAATATGTTTTATCTATTAATTTTTTATTTAAAAGTTAGGTAACTATTATTAATCAATTAAAATGGTTGGAAATAACTTTAATAATTGATATTATCACACCGAATTGCGTGCAGATCTTCTTGCTTCTTTGGATAAGGAAGGTTGTTGAGATGTCACCTCAGTCGGTTGCGTCGCGCGTGCTAGAAAATTGTTTGAGTGTTTCTAGGCCTTGATTTAGTAATTTAGCGGCCGTTTGGATGTTACTGTATTTTTGGTACATTATAATTAAATTTATCATATTTTTAATTAAATTTAAATATTAATTTTCATAAAATTAAATTAATATAAAATTTTTATTAAATTTTTTTTTAATTTCTGTTATAATAATATTCTTTCAATCACAATAAATAAATTTTATTATTATTTTTAATTTTATTATAATCAATTTTATCGTCTATACAAATAAAACCTTAATTTACTCTTCTATATCCTTAAAAAAAATCAAATAATTAATAACCAAGATAATAATTAATAACGATAGTGCTATAATCTTTTTTCCAATACATATAATAATCTTAATCTTTAAAATAGGATACATTTGAACTTTATTTCTAAACAAAGATATTTTGATTTAATTGAATTCCCTGTCAGCATTATGGTCCATATCAATATCTTCTTGTAAGCATAAATAATCCCTATCTTCTATCCTGTAATCTCATCTAAGAATAAAAAAATCAGCTTCATCTTATCAGCTTCATCATATGAGATTTTTCAAAATCTAAAGAAAAATTATACAACTTCAAATTGAGAGAAGAAGGAATCTAGATCTAAATCCAAAAAAAAAAAAGGAAAAAGAAGAGTTTTTTTCTGGTGAAGTCCCCGTGGAGGCTATCATGGTCCTCCACCTTCACATGCTCTTTCCAAGTGCTTTCCTGGCTCTCCCATAAATATATCAGCGCCTGGAAAGAATTTGAATGCCTTTAGATCTCCTCATTGTGGATGGGCTAGGGAATGCACCAAAAAGAGACTTTGGAGTCCGTGGTCCACCATCTCCCAGGCTTGAAGGCAGGTTTCCAGATCATAGCATGCATATAGATCAACTGGATTATCTAGACGATGACTACAAGGGAAGTAGATTTGATAGGTCAATGCCAATGGATTGGGGACATGGAGACTGTGAAAGGGGCAACTTCTTCAATGAAAGGAAAGGGTATGAGAGACGACCACCATTTGCACCTCTACCTCCACTTTTACAACTTCCTCCCCGAGATAGATCACCAATAAGGTTCTCCTCCGCCAAAAAAATATTGACAAGATATGTACTGTGCAAATTGATGGCCCTTGGAAAAAAATAGAGGGAAGAATACCAAAAAAATGACTTTGGGTTTTACTTCTTAAGACTCATCATGCTGTCGGTTGTGTTGCTCGGATTGCTACACTCTTCCGATATTGCTACACTCTCCAATTCAATTTCCTCTCCATAGGTTTTGTTGGTACTTGGTTGAGAATTAAAGGAAAATAACAAAAATTTTGGTAACTTAGGAGATGCTGACATGGATGCATAAAACTGACTTGGAATTCAATTAGAGTAACATACCTTTCTTTAAAAATAAAATTTAAAAATACTCTATTTTAAGAATTAAGATTTTAAACTATCTTCAGGAAAAAACTCATTCTTTTCATTACAAATAAAAGGCGGGTTTGAGAGTGTAGGTGTGCAAAAATAGACGAAACCAAGAGAAATTCCTCAAATGGAGTACCAATCTCTTTGCTTCTTACCCTTTCTATTCCTCTTTATCTTTTCTGTATTCAAGGCTCTCACAAAATGGAAAAAAACCAAAAACCATAACCGACGACCAAAGTTGCCTCCTGGACCACCAAAATTGCCTCTCATAGGAAACTTGCATCTCTTTATTGGCACTCTTCCCCATCACTGCCTAAGAGACTTGGCCAAGAAACATGGGTCGGTGATGAACCTACAAGTCGGTGAGATATCCACCGTTGTAATTTCTTCACCGGAAGCTGCACAACAAGTCTTGCAAACCCATGACGTGAACTTTGCTGATAGGCCATATTCTCTTGCTGCCAGTGTCTTAAGTTACAATTTTAGTGACATTCTGTTTGCCCCATATGGAGACTATTGGAGACAGCTGAGAAAAATCTGCACACTGGAGCTTCTAAGCATGAAGCGCGTGCAATCATTCAGGCATATCAGGGAGGAAGAGGTTGCAGATTTTATTAGGCAGATTTCTTCCAAAGCAGGATCGCCAGTTAACCTTAGAAAGAGATTACGGTCTTTAACTTATGCCCTCATTTCAAGGGCTGCCTTTGGAGCAAAATACAAAGACCAAGATGATTTCACAACACTTGTCCAAGAGGAATTAATAGATGCCTTGGGTGGTTTCAACCTTGTTGATGTATTCCCATCGCTGAAACTGCTTCATGTTATTAGTGGAACAACCTCCAAATTCAAGATGCTTCAACACAAGATCGATAGGATTCTTCAAAACATCATCGATGAACATAGAGCTAGAAAAGAGTCAAGTACAAGCTGTAAGAAGGAAGCAAACGACCTTGTTCATGTTCTCTTAAATCTTCAAGATCATGGGGACCTTAAGATTCCACTAACAGACTCCACCCTTAAGGCAGTTATTATGGTTAGCATCTTGATTTTGGTGTTTCTCCTTGTTTTATTCCTTTTTCTGCAACATAAATAACATAATAATATTAACTTGTCTAATGAAACTAAAAAAGGTTTTAATTGCTTCAGAACATGTTTGCTGGTGGGGGTGAGTCAACGGCAACTACTTTAGAATGGGCAATGTCTGAAATGTTCAAAAATCCAAGAGTTCTTAAAAAGGCACAGACAGAGGTGAGGCAACTCTTTGGTAGCGAAGGAGATGTTAATGAAGAAGGCCTGCAGGATTTAAAATACTTGAAGCTTGTTGTCAAAGAAACCCTCAGACTACATCCCCCTGCTCCTTTGTTAGTTCCAAGAGAAAGTAGGGAAAGATGTGAAATCAATGGCTATGACATTCCACCTAAAACAAAAGTAATTGTTAATGCATGGGCCATTGGAAGGGACCCTAATTACTGGGTCGAAGCTGACAAATTTTATCCGGAGAGGTTCCATGATAGTTCAATTGACTTTAAAGGAGCTAATTTTGAATTTATCCCGTTTGGTGCTGGGAGGAGGATATGTCCTGCGATGTCTCTTGGGATAGCCAATATTGAGCTTCCGCTTGCAAATTTGTTGTACCATTTTGAATGGAAATTTTATGATGGAAGAAAACTTGAAGATATAAGTATGACAGAGGTCTTCGCTCTCTCAGTAACGAGGAAACATGATCTATGCTTAGTTCCAATTCCTTACTGTCCAATGTTGATAGAGTGATGTTGATATACTAGGGAGATAGTATGTTAAAAATGGGCCAATAAACTCGTAGCCTCCTTTCCATATTTCGAAGAACAAGACTTCACATGTATCAGGGTGAAACATCTACTGGCTTTGCTCTTTTCTAACTTTATAATTGTATGCAATCAAGATTGTGCAATTTTATTTTATTGTAATTCACCTTTTACTGTTACCGAGTAAAAAATAGGAAAGTTTACATATGTCTGAGCCTCATAAAACATATTTATAGGCTTTAATGAGTAACAAAATATTATCCCATACATAGGTCAGAAGAGAGTAGAGCTTCAGTTATTGCACATTCTAGCTCTCATGGAGATTGTACTAATAATTCCAGATTGTGTAATGGTACAGTGGAGGATGAGGCGGTCCATAGCTACAAAACTGCTTGATGGGGATGACTAGAGTGTATTATAAAGCTTATAGGGTGATCGAAAATTTTAGAATCAATGGAGATTTTGACATTTTTGTCAATAAAATTTTGGTAGGTAGTTCCTTACTGAATTTGAGGACATGGAAATATTGGTCACCATGAAAAACCTGGGTTTGTCAAATTTGAAAGAAATTGTTGAATGGGTAGATCAGTTTCAAATGAAATATCATGGTGGATAAGGGTGGAAAGATCAGGGATGACATAATGAATGAAACAAATGGTAAATTGGTAGCAGAGTTTGATGAAAATTATTGTTTCATCTCAGAGTAGAAGAATCTAATGATATGATGAGGGTTAAAGTGGGAGTGGTGAGGCCCATGGAAGACAATGGGAGTGGCCCATGGCCTAGAGATAAGAAATAATATCCAGAATCCAAGTTGGTGCGTTGCTCAGGTAATATTCTGGCTTTGCAGAAGATAAGAATCCCTTGGCTCTCTGTCTGATGACTATGGGGCCGACAATAATAACAATGATTGCACGGGAGAAATTCTAGAAGAAAAAGGACGAGAGCTAGAAGCTAGATAAAACTTAACGGAGCTCTTCTACTTAAAACACCTAGTGGAAGGATGAAAAGGGAAAAAAAAAGGCGAAGAAAAATCAGAGATCTGTCAATAATAAGCAAAGTGAAGAAACCATTGCGAATGCTTCGTCGTCAGATAGGGACTTTTTTTAGTAGAGGCAGAGCGCTGTGCATGAAAAAGCCTAAGTCGACATGGGAGATAGGGATGACGATTGGTATGTTTGTAAGCAAGCAATATCATAAATACATAAACTTAAGCAAAAAAACATATGTCGCAATTAAGCAAATCGATTTGGACAAATTAAACCCTAACAACATGCGAGACTATGAATCAAGCTTTGCACTTCTAGCATAAACTGATTAATGCATAAACTATTAAATTTAAGCTTAACTTAACTTACTTAACCCTAATTGAAACCGAATTACTCCAAAAGGCATGCAAACATGTCAAATTAAAATAGATTAAACTAAGAATAGCAAATTAAATTAAAACTAAATTAGATTAAGCTTAACACATGCAAATCGAATTAACTTATTGAATTTAAGCATGCAAACAATAATTTAGAATGAGAATAGCATGTAATCGCATGAATCAAAATAGCTTGAGCAAACTAATCTTTAACGGCACATAAATAATAAAATTTAAAGAAATTTAAAGCAAACTTGAAGTGAAATTGCAAAGTGAGTTGAATAAGAACAAGAACATAACTGCAATTAATTTGAAAACTTAAATTAAACTTGAACAAATTGAAATCACATTAAAAAAAATTAAAACTTAAAGAAAACCTAAAAGAAGAAGGTTAAAGAACCACTAAGTTGATCTGTTACCCTAGCCATACGCTAAAGCAAGCTTAAAAGGGTAAAACAATAATAAAGAAGAGCTAAGTACTAAAGATTGGGCCGTAATCTCAACTATACTTTTTTCTAAACCAGGAGCTAGCTATTTATATAATATGATTACAAAAAAAAAAAAAAAAAACCTAAAATAATGACCAGCTAACTTGATCTTGGTCTCTTAAAGAACTGTAGTTCGGTCTTACTTGAATTCTCAAATAAAATAATCTTTTTGGCTTGAATCTTTGTTAGATAAGCTTTCTTCTCTTCAAATGGATATATGTAGACCGAATCTTGGCTAGATTAGATGCTGACTTATCTTCTCTTTATTTGATTTGGCTTCTCTTGTTTTGATTTGGATAAGTCTTAGCCAACTTAGCATTATCATACAATTAGCTTTCTTAAACAGAAAAGAATTATGTCCAACTGGTTTCTTTTCTAAGCAGTTTTAAGAGTCATGACTTTGAGTAGCTTTCTTGAATACTAAATCTCTTCTTTTCTTGACTTTAAGCAACTTTAAAAATCTTGAAATTTTTAACTTCTTATTATTTTTTGAACCCTTTCGTAATGAATTCATGAAGAGTTGAATCTCTAAAATTGAAGATGTAAGTTCAGGTAAATCTTTTTGAAAATCAAGAGTTGAAAGTCTTTTAGAAAATGCTCTTTAAGTTGAAATAGACTTTGCTTTTCTTTGAAACTTTTTGCAGTGTTTTTCTAGTTGAAGAATTCATAAAGAAAAGAGAAATAAATTCTAATTTTTAACTTTTGTTATGCAACCACCCTTATGTTAAATCCCTTATAATTCATATTAATCTTACTCGAAATATGAATACCAAACCCGAGTAGGAATAAGTAAAATCCAAGTAATGGTGGGATTTTCAAATCAATGTAGGAAAAACCAAATTTTGGTAGGAAAACCAAGTCAAGGAAAGAATTTTAAATCAAAGTAAGAATTCTAAAAATTGGATAAGAAAACCAAGAGTGGTTTGAACTTTTCTAAATTGGACAAATTTGCCAAGTTATCATGTCACATAAGCATTCAAGTCATCTCTCTTGGCCAATAAGATTGGATTTATTGCCATGTTATCCATAATGATCCCATACATTGCACACTACATAGCATACCAAATACTTGCATTTAACTTGAAACTACACATCGATCCTTTATTGTGACCATACCTTTCTTTTATGATTCTTATATGAATTTTTGGAATTTTTCATCAAGATTCACAATTTTTCACTCCAATAGGTACAACTAATCAAATCTTGTATAATTTCATCACTTTCATTCCAAGATTTTCCAAAAATTTCAAGAATCAACATGTCAAGAACCATTCAATATTATTTTCAAGATATCAAGAACTTATCAAGATTGATCAAGAATCTACAAAATTCTTCATCATTCACCAAGATTCAATTTTTCCTTCAAGATTTCCAATGTAAAGGCAAAGTAAACACATTAAAAGTAAAAAAAAAAAAAAAAAAAAAAAACCTTATTTCACTTGAAACTAAGTAATATTAACTTGTTTAAACACTGAAAATAACTTTAGTTCATAGAATTATCAATTTACTTAAATAGTTTAGTGTTTGAAGCAAAGTTATTTTACATGCACTTAATTTAGGTTAAATTAGGATTTAAGTCAATTTACAAGTATTCATTACGACTATTTTGCTATTAATAGAATAAACCTACGGTGATAAATTTTAGTAGTTAACAACGATTATCACAATCCTCGTGGGATGATATCTTATTTATCATTGTATTACTTGAACAATCCATATACTTTTGATAGTTGCATACATTGTGTATAATTTTCTTCTCTAAGTCCCTTTACTTTATGATTTTTACACCTTGCTTAAATTTTTTGAATTTAAAATATTTTATTTTTCAATTTTCATTTTAACTTTTTTAAAAATACTATTCACCCTCTTCTAACACAAACTACTTGAGACTTATAGAAATCTCAAGCCATATTACAATCTTAAGAAAAGTTCTTTTAAATTAATTTAGATTAATCGATATTATAAGTCATTTTCAAAATAATGATAGATTGGTGAAAGAAATTTTCTCTAACACAAAAATGATTAAACACATATGCTTGAGAATAATAAAAAAAAGTGTTAACTTTATAGTTGATAAAACCAGTGGTTAAGAGAAATTATTTTAACTTTTGATGCCATGCATAAGGTATTTGCTTGAAAGCATAAAGCATTTTCATCAACTGGCAAACATGATTAGGAAATTGTTTATCAAGAAAGCCCGATAGTTGAGACATAAAGACATCTTCATGAAGGGTTCCATGAAGAAAGACGTTATTGACATCAAGTTAATGAAATGCACATCCATCTGATTACAAGGTTCATGATAAGATGAATAGTAATGGGTTTGATAACAGAGTTAATAGTCATATGGTAATCAATGCTAGGTCTTTGGTGAAAGCTTTTTACTATTAATCTTGCCTTGTACCTTTCTATGGTCCTATTAGAATTTCTTTTAATATGAAAAATATATTTATATCCGAATAAATTTATAAGGTTTTTGAAGGAACAAGATCCCATGTGTCATTACAAAATAAAGCATTAAATTCATTTGACGTCACTTAACGTCATTCCGAGTGTTTTAAGGCTTAAGAAAGACATTTTAGTTTAATTGGTATTCTAGCATATAAAGAGCATTTAGGATTAGGTTTGTGAATGTTATTTCTGGAATGAGTTTACATTAGGTTAATATTGCTGGGTTGGATTATGAGGGGATGTGGATTCAGGTTGGATAGAAGATTGGTTAAGATGAGAGAGTGATGGTGGGTGAAAGGTTGGCGTGGAGATAAAAATTGATGATATATTTGGGAAGGTACTAGATAGGAAATAATTATTTGAAAAAGAAAAAGAACGTGGATAGGCTAAATTTAGGAAAACAAAATTTTGGAAAGAAGATTTATGATATGTATCAAGTAACAAAGACTTACCTTGTAAAGAATTGACTGTAGATGGCATTGATGGATGGTAATCAAGATTACTCTTGGCAAGTGCCCATTTTATTGCAATGATGGAGGCAGAATCATGGAATGATGCAATTGAATGAGAGGCATGAGGTGGTAAGAACACATCCAGTACAGGTTAGGTTGCTAAAAATGGCTTAGGTTGGCTGGTGATAAAATAAAAATAGGCATTGAAGCTGTACGATTGTGAGGTATAGGGCTTTTTTGTTGTGATGATATTTTGAAATATGAGGTTTTGGGGAGCCAAAATGTGAAAGACTCTTAAGGTATGGTGGAGGAAAAAAGAAATATGGCTTCAAAAAAAGTGACATATCTTGAGATAAAAATTATTTAGTGTAAATTATAGCATTTATAAGCACTTTAAGTGAGAGAATAGCCTAGGAAAGTGCATGGTGTAGATTTTGACTCAAGTTTATTGGATACATAAGGATGTAGCCAAGGATAACATAAGCACCTAAAAATTTTTAACTTTGAAATGTTAGGCAAATACCAAATGATTTTTCAAAGGAATAGATCATGGAGAATTGTACTTGTGGCATATGATTAATGAGATAGATAATCGTTTCAAAAGCATATGGTCAAAATGTAAGGCATAAAAGCATTATATAGTAAGGTGAACCTAGTTTCAAAAATATGAAGATGACATCATTTCGAAAAACCATTATCTTCAAGGATATGAAGATAGGAAGTGAGATGAGAGATTTCATTTGTTGAGAGAAATTGTTTCATAGCTTGATATTCTCCTCTAATATCTCTTTAAAACAAATATTTGATTTGTTAGAATCTTTCCTATTTGCTAACAACGATTACCATAATCCTTGTTGGATGATATTTTATTTATTATTATATTACTTGAATAATTCATATACTTGTGATAATCGCATCACATTGGACATCATTTTCTTCTCTAAATCCCTTTACTTGGTGATTTCTACACTTTGCTTACATTACTTTAGTTTTCAATTTCCATTTTTAATTTTTTTAAAAGTGTTTTTCACCCTCTAACACAAACTATTTGAGACCCATACATAGAAACCTCAAAACTCATTACAATCTAGAGATAAGTTCTCTTAGATGGATTAAGATTATTTGGTCTTACAAGTCATTTTTGAGATAATGATAGATTGTTAAAGGAATTTTCTTTGCACAAAGGAAAAAATTAAAAAAAAAAGCCTACTAGGTTGAAAACTCGAAATGATGTACTAAGTAAAATGCTAAAGTATTCTTGCTATATGAAAAATCTAACTAAACCATCTAGGAATAAGTTAGTGAATTTTTTTTAAATCCTTAAGCATTGAATCATGAATGGATTGAAATTCTCAACTACAAAAAGGAGGAAAAATATAAAAATTAAAAAATATATGGTATTTGAGATCACAATGGTAGTGGTAAAAGATAATTTAACATCTTTACTTGAATGAAAATATCAACATGATTTGAAAGAATTTTTTATTAAAAAATTTGATTTTTAACATAAACTTAATCTTGATGATCTTACACAAAAAGTTTCAAATCAAAAGTTTTTGTTTTAATACAAGCCAAGTCATTAATTATTCTCAGAACATCTCTTTGATTAAATTTTTTTTACAAATTTTTTTATAGCATTGTTAATTTAAATTTTACCATAACAGTTTTAATTTTATTGTTACAATAAAAGTTTTCATGAATTAAATGGTCCAAACTTGGTTAACACTTGCAAACCTTGTTTAAAAACAAGCTTAGCTCACCCAT